GCCGGCGCCGCCTGGACCCACCTCGCAGCTTCTTCTGCCAGTTCATCTCGTTGAAGAGGTCCTCCGAGCGCAGGAAGAAGTCGTTGATCTTGCTGCCCTGCTCGTCGCGCTCGGTGGTGTAGTAGATGCGCAGCTTGGACTCCTTGGTGAGGAACTCGCAGATGCTGGGCACCGGGAAGACGATCTGCTCCATGGTGCGGTCCAGCCGGACGATCTGGGGGCGGGGGTGGGGGAGTGTGAGCAGCCGCCGCTGACCCCCCCTCTGGCCCCCCTATGGGGCCCCTGGCCAGGGGCCCTGGCGCCATATTCAAGGCGGCGTGCGATACAGACCCAGCGAGGCGTCTCTGACCACACCCCCCAGACCGGGCGTGTCTCTCAGATCCGTGTAAACCGGTCCAGGTGAGTCCGGCCAGTATGCTCTGACCTCAGACCCGTCAGTTTCACTAACTTATTGAAACTGCTTCGTGCACACGGCCCCCGGGGCTCCAGCCGGGCTGTCTGTGCATCTGTCCGTCCACAAGCAGGGCCCCGGGTCCCGCGTGGCCCCGAGCGTCGGACGCACACGTGGCTGGTGCAGCTGCGGGACCGAGGGCTTAGCTTCGCTGCCCCCGTGCTGAGCGCACACCCGGCTGGCGGCTGGCGTAACGGGCAGCGTCCCCCGGCCTGTGGTCCTTCCTCACCCGGCGAACTCGGGTTACTTTCCCTGGACAGGAGCCTAAAGGGCCTTCGCTGGGCTATCCAGTGATGTCCTACCTCTTGGTGTCACAGACCTAAAACGTGCGAGGCAGGAACGCGGTGCCTGGCGAAGGCCGGGGCAGCGCCCCCTGTTCCTAAACTCGCGTTGCTGGGCCCCAGGTGGACACCTCACAGGTTCTCTCCAGCTGCCCAGCCCGGCTCAGCCCCCAGAGAGGAGGCAGTGAGGCCAGGACTGTTCGAACCCTAAGACACTGTGTGAGTCACACCTGGGGGCAGAGATTTAAAGGGGATGCGGGGGGGGGGCGTACAATGGGGGCCTGGCCTGTGTGTCTGCGTCCCCGCAGAGTCTGGAGGAGTCGGGTGAGGCCGGCCACACCCTCCACCGGCTCTCAGCCCTGGCGGGAGGTTCTGGGGGACACGGTCTTCAGACCCCCGGTGCCCAAGTTGAGCTGGAGATCAGGTTCCGGAAGCTTTGCATGGCCCTGATTCTGTCCTAAGCCGACCTCACTGAACTGGGGGGTGGGGGTTGGTGGCTAGAGCCCGCCTGGAGCCGGCCCA